TATTTCCCAAGAGCTCTCAAGAGATCCCCATGCGAACTTGATGGAATTTGCCGGGTCAGTGTCTCTGCAGACTTAAATAAACTCGACCCCTGGAGATGTTTGAAGTACTGAAAGCGGCAAAAATACGGGATGAGAAGGGGACGATCTTTCCAAAGTTATCTAGCACGATTTGCAGTTCTTGAAGTACTGGTGTATCCCGACGCTGTAATAGATCCAAGCTGGCCCAAAATGGGGCCAGCGCTGACGGCACCAACGCGCTGTTCGGGGGAACATAGCAAAGGACAAACACCGTGTGTCCTAGTTTATAAAAGAAGTTGGTCTGGCCACCGCTCGCTGAATATGTCATGACAAAAAAGACACCGCTTCGACATCTTTTAATAGCCCTGGGGAAAAGCAAATGCGCTTGAGATACACATGCTTTTAGTTCTCGGTCCTGAAGCGTTGACGTGTGTATATGAATCAAATAAGGTCTAACGGAGTGTGCGGAGCACGAGTAGTGATGTTCTTTAGCCAGAGGAGAAAAAGCCTAGTAGTCGTCATTTCGATAATACACCAAGTCGACTATGGAACCAATAACAGCTCCGCGTGACATGATGCCACGGTGGGGCATACGAGCGATACCGATTAGTTGTTAGGCGAAGGCATCGGGCCGTCAACTATGAAACGGATAAGATGATATGGCTGCCCAAAAGCAGATAGGACATTCTAGCGACCAGCTATGCTAAAGGGTGACTTTACTCTACACTCATCAGATAGGCTACGAGGGTGGGTTCTGGACCAGTCTGCAAATCGGCAACAGCTTATCGAGAGACTGAGACCGAAGAGAGAGAGTGAGCGAGAGTTGATGGGAGCATGGAGACTCGGTCTTTTTAAGGGGTAGTCGAGATTTCGCTACCATGTTAGGGCGGCCGCCTGACAAGGATGCCTAACTCTGGCCAATAACCGAATCTTTCTGCGTGCTTTTTTGCTCTCCGTTCTATCGAGACCTACGTATCTAGCTTTCTCTCTGCCTGACAATCCCTGCGAGCTGTTCAGGATCAGGGTTCGCATATCGTCCGTTCCGACAAAGGTTACTTGATATATCTAAACATATTCAGGTTTCAGAGGTTAAAGCTTCGACAAAGTCGACGATGCGCCCAAAATGGGCAGACTGGACCTATTCAGTTTATAGCAATATTCGCTTAATTGTTGTATCGCTTTCGAGTGAAAATCCAAAGTAACTGTTGCCATAAAAGTAACTGTTTACCGTTGAAATATTAGAACACTTATTCGTACTCTATGCCAGCTGTCTATCCCAGGCACCGTCCTCTCTTCCGGCAATATGTCCTACTTGCTTTTGTTAGCAAAAGATTCAACGCACATGGCCGCTAGAGAAGGATATGTTTTATAGTGGAATTGTTATTGGTAATAAAGTGGTGAGAGTTGAACTGAGTCAGCTTCACAAGTCAGCTTGCCCCCGTTGTTTCTCTGCACATATTACAAATTGCTGACGAACCAGCAGAGCAACTGAGCAAACATCCGCAGATTACAAACAGCATTTAATTTTATATGCAGTGAATCAAATGTATTCAAAAAATGTAAAATTAATGTTTGATCCCCAATAGAGCATAAACAGCAGCAATCATACCAACAGAATAAATCCTAAAAACATATTATTCTACTATATGATACTCTTTTCAACAAGTTTTTCCTATATATATATATATATATATATGCACACACATACTGTTTGACATATTTTGGCAATGACCGGAGAAAGTTCTGTCATTTTTCACAGCAGATTGAAAAGGAAAGAAGAGCAGGAACGGACACCCAAGAAGCCAGTAGATACTAGTTCCTTGATCTAGGAGACAGCGATAAGTCTTGTAACACCTCCCGCGCTGCCCAGATTCTCGTTAGCCATGTTCTTTTTATATATTTATGCATGCCGTGCCCAGTTACTTTTGAGTGGGCTTGTTGCCCAGTGGTTAAGTGGTTTTTATCGAATCGGGTTGAATTTAAAAGAGCAAGTGGAAGTAGCGGGGCATGTGGCGGACGTGACATGCAAATCTGGAAAAAAGGACCATAAACATTTCACGAAGGGAATAAAGGACAGGGAACGCGTTTAAGCTAGAAAAACTAGGTGTTCCATGTAGAGAAAGATTATTAAAGATCAGTAAAATACCGCCTGCAATGTTCATGCTTTTCTTATAATAAATCTAAAATGGTTTTCATCAGAGCCTACTAAATAATCACCTTTGAGAAACAGACGAAATGCAACTGGTCCCCCTGCCTTTCTCCTACTGTGTTCCGCGTAGAACATGGCCTTGCAATAGTCTGCCGAGATTCTCCCTGGGCAGCCGGTTATTACTTTAGTATTGACCGGGTGTACCTTTGAATACCCTATTTCTCCATCATCGACCGGCTCGTATAATTCCTGCTCTTTCTCGAAAATCTAAATTGGAGGGGGGTGGCAATGACTACAACGGCAGAGTGGGACGTCAGGCTCGTAACGGCAATTGCGAAGTTCAATAGAGAGTTCAACAATCTATCGGCTGACAATCAAAAATGCTTGTAGCCCAAATTGTGAGAGTGCTTAATATCATAACATTTTAGAAAGCTCGTGTGTTGCTATATCGTATATAGCATGACTACATGGTAGTTCGTAGCGTCCAGTGCGTCTAAGGATACGACTTTTGTTTTGTACACGCGAGCACATGCGTACTCAAGCGTTTCTCATTGATTGAGACTTCGCCCCTTGGATGAGCTGAGCAGAAGGACATGTTCCCAAAAGTCCGCACTTGTAGATTGCTTTCGTTATCTGTTGTTTCTTTTTTTCTGAATTAGTCTACATTTCTTACGAACCGCGGAAGAAGGCGTAAACATAATAGTTCTACTTAAACAAGTCATCGCGGCTGATCCATGAAAACAGGTTTGTTAAGTGTCTTAAATGTACTGACTGCGGTGTAAGAGAATAAGCATTACTTTTTGGCCTGGACTTTCTGTGCTAAATTCGGTTTATGTGAAAAGCCTTTGCATACGTCGTACCTAACAACGTTCACTACTTTTCGATTGCTCGTTTGGATGTATATGTAAATGTCTCCGTTGGCTTTCATGAACTATATATGTGTATAGTAATTTCTCCTATCAACCAGCAGCTGTACGTTCGTAGTTGGGTTTGAGACGAAACGGGCTTCTACCGAAAAAGGGGGCATCGGAGCTGCCAAGAACCGTCCCAGCTAACCGAGCATTGCGACGCGCGACTCTATTAATCGAACACGCATAACAATGTTCAGCCAGCCAGGTGGGTCTTTGCCCCATTCTTCTATTTCAGCAGCTGGCGCCAACCCACAAGACACGAGACCAGCTGCTCTTCTTCTTTGTTAACACCAATAGTAAGTAGTAGCTCCTCATCTTCAACAGTTTTGTTTTTGAGAGCGCGCGAATAACACGCTCTGGTCGTTCTCGTGTTTGGAAGTGAGCTTCCCTTTCGGCTTACTGCTGAACTTTCTCTAATCCACCTGCGTTCACGTTTCTGTTAATGACCAACGTATCTTTGTTACTCAACATCCTCAGAGGAAAAAGAACGTCATCAACCTGTATAAGGCCACATTACGACTTACACGCTCCATCTTCTCCCGCGTATTAGTTCATAATCTTTTTTTCTATTGACAATTTTATAACACATGACGATAATTTCGTCACGGTTATTCATTATACCGCTCTTTAGCGAGACGTTACTACCATGCGTGCTACTTTAATTAGATAATTGGAAAGGCACACGTGATAATATTATAATCCATCGACCAGAGCCACCTGCCATTGATTTTTTTTTTTATGTTGAATGTACGTGTCTAAAAATATCTGTGCAAAATCCGATTTTCTGTGTTGCTGCATTCGTGAATCATGTACTTTTAACAGATGGCTATTTTCGGGTATGTGGACATTTGAATGATATCCTAGTAGCTAGCTAAATCCATTCCATGGGTAAACAAAAAAAAAAAAAAAATATTTTTGCTGTTTTTTGAACGTAAGGAGTAGTTTTGCTAAGTATGATCCACAGGCACGCACATGCCTAACGAGAATTTTCACGTTACTAGCAAATCACGTTAGACCTAATTGTGGTATAAAGAAATATGAAAATATTGTAAAAACTTGAAACACGGCTGCGTGCAGAAGCCCTTACCTTTCTGATAAGTGCTTAATGGGAAACTAGCACCTAAAAGGGGCAATATAAGTTACGCTAGTGTTCAGGTGGCTGCACCGTGCGCACAGAGAATGGCAATAAAGATGAGGTTGCAGCTTGACAGCTTCGCTTACTAGGCCACAATATTAGATTTATCCTAAATTACAGTAATAGTACTTCATTCATATGCATTACGCATTTTGGAAAAACATTTAGTATCGTTCTCATTGAAATAGTCAATTAAACGGTGTCTAACACCCAGACAGACAGGGGCTTCTGTGATAAGGTCTTGTAAAACAGGCAAACTGTGTGTTATTTTTTACCGGCAATGCGAGGAGCAGCATTAGTCCTGAAATCGTGTTTTATCAAGTGTTTTATCTTTCACTGAAAGTTTATGCCCCCAACAGAAGGCATAAACGTTTTAGTAATGAATTGAACGGTTTTCCGTCTTGACAATAAATCAAAATCGGCATGGTAGGTATTTCAGAAGGGTCTCGTTGAATAATTAATTCTCACCTACGCGACAAATTGGCACCATTTTGAGATTCAAATAGACATCCTGGTGCTGCTCATATTTAGCTAAGGCTACCTATTGTTTGGCTGAATGCAGGCTCGAAGTTAATCCGCCAAGCCGAGGCTGGCTCTGCGTCAACAATTTCGGTAGGTAATTGAGAAACATGTTGATCTTGGGCAAGTTCTCGTAGACTTTTATAAAATGAATTTCTATAAATTAATTTATTTATCCAATATTACAGAATTGCTGGACACTATATATATATATATATATATATATATATATATATATATATGCATGGCAAATCTGAATGATAATTACCTTCAGTAATTGGCCGGAGCGCCGCTATCAACGGAGCTGAAAAGGTGAGTACCAGACCAAAACATACAAAAACGAACAGTTAATAACGCCGAACGGCAAAATTCACCCGGTATTTTTAACTAGACGTCAGAGCGTAGCAGTGCCTGTTTCATCCAACGTATTTTTTTGTTACAGGTTACAGAACTTACGAAAAAGGAGTTACCTCAGAGCTGTTCTCTCATCTAGACAGCTATCACCCTACTGAAACGAGGGTTGCCACTCGGTTTTATAAACTATCTACCGATCTTTTTTTTCGGGTGCTATCAATAGATTGGGCACATTATTTGGTCCACTCATTTCAAATTTTCACTCGCTATACTTCCATCTCATAGGTAGTAAGTAATCCGTTCATGAAAGTTCCACTGCTTCTTTTTACTTCTACAACTGAACGCTTGACAGTGTCTCTATGCTTCTTGGCCCTTGCCCATCCACTCTATTCTAAACCCAATGATAAATGAACGAACGTATATATAAATGCAACATGCATTTGTAGATAAATATACAGGGTGTTTGGGATAAATTAGAAGCAAATGGATGCCGTTTATGTATAAGCTGCATTTACATAAAAAGAGCGAGGAATATCGATGGAGCTTTCGGCAGGTGTTCATAGAGAAATCTCAACTGAGGTGTCAGCCGCTTCAATCAAGAGGTCCATTGGGCCACTGAAACATTGACGAATGATCTTTTAGTATAAGCCAACACCATACTATTTAAGAAATATATGGTACAGATTCGCTCGCTTGAAGTTTTGCTCAGGTAAATTTAACTAAATCTAAATTGCTAAGACGTTTAGCAATTCGGTATAAACTTAAACGCTCAGAAATTTAGATCCAAAGCTTTAATTGGCGTTTTTGCGTTGGATGCCCGTTTTTTTTTTTGCCAAAATATGTATCTCTCTCCCCATCTTGTCGTCGTCCTCCAACTGAGTTCCGTATTACCAGCGAAGATTAGAGAGACACGGAGACCATCGGATGATTAATGCTTCAAACTGTTTTAAAGAGTAGAAAAGTAAGAAATTTTGTTAGCTTTTACATTTTCGAAACGAAGTATGATTAGCTTTGCGCTACGCGCGGATCCAGAAGATAAAGCTTACATGCTAAAGCGAAACACGGGTATCATTAGATGTGTCTTATTGCGTTCTATTAATGAGTTTTTAGCTCCTTTGGATTACTTTTTATTGTGGATCCTTCGCGTGTTCGTATGGGAGCCTTCCTCGAGTACTTCCTTTTGAAGTCCCTTGAAGACTGGCAAACCGTCGACATCAGGAAGCCAGAGATAAAATGAAGGAACAAAAATCGCACTTACGGGTCTTCAGAACATTGGACAATCATTGCTTCTGTCTCGCATTCCGAAAACGGATCTCCTGTTCCTGCCGTGTCTGCGGTCTGATTCTACAAAGAACTGGCTTTATTTTTTTTCTTGTTTTAAGAGCACCGGATGAACGTACGTCTTCCGCGACGACCATCCTCTTTGAATTTTTCTGTATATATAACGTACAATAAATAACGTGTTTGCCCTCTAGGCTTGAGAACACATATGGTAATCTAAGCTCGAACACGGTCATATATACACTTCGCTTCTTGCTGTGAGCAGCGTTGAACGTAAAACCCGAAATATTTATTTGCACTAAATGCATAGAGGTGGTTACGTGTATGCCCTAAGGCAATGCTACGGATATAAATCTATGCACTTATAGTTGTATTATATACATTTAATATCTTGCGGCCAAAAGACAATAGTTACCACTCCAATCCACTTATTATACGTTACTTGGGTCATAGCGCGTCTGATCAAATATATTTCATACGATAAACAGTCAATGTTTCAAGTGATTGTACAATAGCTACGCCCTCTGTGCCTGTCCGACGCCAGAGGGTTAAACACACGACAGTACTATAATTCCAAACCTACGCTATAAACAAAAAGCTTTTTTAACACCATTCGCATCCCGCCATCTAATCTGCAGTTGGCTCGAAACAGTAAGTTACGCTGTTACAGCAGCGTAACGTGAAGGACTAGCAATGAAACGACGCCGCTTATCGATTTCAATGCAGATCTTAGTTGCAAAAAAAAAAAAAAGAAAAAACTAGAATAGAGCCAATAATGCAAAGAACAGCAACCGGGTTATAGATATCATGACGGGATGACGCGGATGTAAGTGACGTAACTCTGTAAAATAGCAAAGTAAAATTTTTTCTTTTTTTTTACAAGTTCTAGTCGAATTATGTTTCGGTCACATTAATGCAGTGTTATTCTTAATTTTCTAGAAATAATATTGCCCCAGTTTTGTTATTAACAGGAAGCGCCGTAGACAAGGGCCAGGAAGACATCTACTTAACTTAACCTATAATCGTTTTTTCATCTTGGGTGAGTTGAGAGACTCACACTTACAGGCCAGCCACCTCTACGTACGCATTTCCATTTGATCTGATTCTACTCTATACTCGATTAATGCACAGCTTTCGCGAGCAATCGTTCGGATCATGCTTATCAATACAATATACCTGCCAAGAGCTACTTGCAACTTAAAACTTAATAATATTCGGATTACATGTTCATTTGTAGATAGTTACTTAATTCCATGTCTGATTCTCCTGTCGAACACCATGAGATAAGCAAAGCGGTCTTATTTTTCATGTCACGATAGTTTGATGCCGGCTAGCTGAGTTCAATATTGTAGGTAATTATGTAATGGACATGAAAGATCTATCATAGTGCCATCCACATATTTAATTACGTTATGGTCGCAGATTATAGGAGTAATAAAAATAAAGAATAAGATTTGAAAAAAAAAAGCTGGTCAAGGGGGCATCGGTAAAATAAAGGAGAATTAATCGATTGCTCGGAAACTATTTCTTCAATAGTTCATTTCTGCTATTGATTGCCTGTGGTACTGAACGTCAATAGGCAGCGGCATAAACATTCTCAACCCACTAACAGGGCATACAGCCGAACAAAGCTGGGCCTAAACATGAGACCAGTAGGACAAATCCACCGCTCTTCCGTCTCGTGGGTTCCCGTAGCTTTTGTCTGCTCAGTGCTAGAATACACAAATCTTGATGCAGCTCACATTTTTCGGGCGTATCAACACTGGCTCGATCTAATTGGACCAATGTTAAACTGTGAAGGTTTTCCTAACAACGGCCTTTACTAACTTCAATACCTTTAAACGAATATTAATGGTCCTAACCAGAACAGCATTGATTTGTGTAGGTGGTCACTTTCTAAATATGGCTGACGTATCACATTTTGCGCATTTCAATTCATCGACCGCCTACCTCAAGATTTCTGATGTCGGTAACGACGCGCTCAAACTACCTGTCAAACGTCCTGACTGGGCGGTTTAAGAACATGCCTGATATGACATTAAATGGAGTTGAAACGCACTGCGTACCTAAATATCATAATTAACTGAAAAGGCCCATAGGACTACGTGCCCTAACGGGCGCCGGCTAGCGAAGCAAGCTATGCCTTGCGCTACCTAAGTTACTGTCGACATTAAGTACGACAAAAGAACATACAACAACCTAACGGTAGGACTCAGTACATGTTGGCTGTATGTCCATCATTCTCACAATAGGTGTTCTTTAGATACACGGTCATAATCCACGTCGTCAGTCATGTCGGCATTACTATATGAACTTAAAAATTCATACATTATAGGACACATTCAAAGTTATCTCTTCTCCACCGGAAACAAAGGATATATCATCGTAAATGGCTGTCCTAATTACCTTACAAGTTACTTCAGCAGACTCTGCGCCATGTGTCAAACGGCTTGTTTCTCGGCTGCCCTGGGCCGGCCAGTGCACATATTGCCGCATCAAAGTGCTCTGTTGGTTTTTTTTGCTTCCCTGGACCGGTCCAAGGCCTTGGGAAGCGTCTATGCTGCACTGCGATTATGGGTTTTGACAGCAGATTACCCCATAGCAACATAATCAGCGGAATTAATTTTTTTCAACTTCACTTCGAACAAGTTTATACCAGATGCTATATGTTTTGCTTTCGAGGGCCGTTCAAGCTTGGTATCTGTTCGCCTATCCTTTTTTGTCTGTCAGCGATAAAAAAAAAAAATAAAAAAAAAGCCATATTCACTCGGCTTCCCATAACAACTACATCTTTTTATCCAGCCGCTTTCTTGGTTCGCTACCGTTGCCCACCGACAAGATCGAAGACAGACCAACGAAATGCGATAGGAATCTTCTAGTTTTCATCATTTCGAGCGTTACGTACTTCATACAGTTGTTCTTGATCAACCATGTTTAGTTCACTGTTGTCAGGTGGTTCGCGTGTCCCGGCGATGGGGCAGCGGGTAGTATGTGTACGTGCTAAATTTGAAGGACACGTAGTGGTCGGCGCTCGATTTCACACGTGGGCACACTGTGTTTTATGGTCGAAGTCAGCTGTCTGACGGAGCGCCTAACAACGGTGCCGGCCGAAACATTTTATCCTTATTACTATTTTAAACAGTCTATCGTACGCTTCCCTATTTGTATTCATGTGTTGAAGCTATTTATTGAGAGAATCAGAATTTGCAGGTTCATTCATCTGCGATTGCATTCTTAGCGGGCTAACAGATTTCAATTCATCGGCTTTGACTGCATCGGCCGCATTGAGCTTTGATAAATCTCGTTCTAAAGTCGTTGATCCCCAACTGTGACCTGCTCGAAATCGGCCAGTTTTAGGTATCCTGCAGTCCTACTGTGCTAATCCGGCGGCAGAACACCACAGTCATTCATATCGTACAATATCTTGCATGCGCCTTTGCCTAACTGTTGCCTGGGGCGCATTTATAGAACAACCCTATTGGAACCCAACGGTAGAGATGAGTAGTGCTACCACTGAATGACTTCTCGTGGGATGGCTAGTACCAAAACATGTCAGTATGTGGCTGCGCTCTAGCTCAACACCAGCTTCTTGTTTTTTTTTTTTTTTTTTTTTTATTCACACGCGATATTTGCTTTACTATGTCTCCTAGTTTGTCTAGAAAAGCTAGTGCTCAAAAATTGCGGTTTGGCCTGTCTTCCGAGAACGAACCGTGACGCACTGTCAATATAGATCGTATGTATACCTAAAAATGCCACTTGTTTTGGGCGTGTTGGCTGTAGTACGAATTTAGAAGGCTGCCATTTCGCCAGCCGTTGAGCAACTTCTATTGGCAGTGGCAGCAGTGACAGCTTATTCAACTGGAAGCCTATATAACAGCACTATTTATTCTTAATTCGTTCGTCATACGCGGGACGTTTCTCTATGTTTTTGCCGTCTTTAATCGGTCTTGACAATACAGAACATTCTAATCCTACTACGGTAGCTTGTACTGTCACACGGAACCGTACGCCAGCTTTAATTGTATTTTTATATAAGCGCATCGCTATGCTACATTACGGCTGGACGGAGCAGACAGTGATGTTCATATCTTCTTTAAGGGAAAACGATTGGTCACCCCTGCTCGCTTCGTCGCGTTCATTTAATGGACTATATGTGTTATGAAATCATTGACTTGGTTCTACATCAACTTCTTTCATTAACTTCTCTATGCGTTCATTATCCCGGTTTCAACTAGCTCGATCAAGTTCACCATCAAGATGTATTTGGATGAAGTGCATCTAAAAGTTTGCTGGGGACATTCGAAACATTTTAGAAAATACGAAAGAGACCTCGACTAGACCCAAATACGTGTCCATATATAGGAAGAGATGGTTGCCTGTTAGCTTGCATTGAACCTTAACCTTATTATGCAATACATGAGATATGTTTTCTAACACAACCTTATTAATCAATAAGGTAAAGCAACCATCTATTGTTATGGCGAAACAAGTTTGACTGTAGCCTTCGTGATCATTTGCTCCATTTTTCATATTCATCAGTACCGTTGTCCTGCCTCGTGATGACAGCTCCTATGGCCGCCCCAGTCACTCGTGCCTGGCCGACTCCCATCACCTAGATTGAAAATCATGTGCGGATTCGAAGCATACATCTACAAACAAGGCCATCATCATATATTACAACAGCCATCATTGGACCTTGTTGTTATCGATGATGAAGTGTGTTTAGAAATTACTTTTTCAGGAGGGGTGACCTACGGCCGTAGGCACTCGTATTCGATTCATGTGCTCCTGTTGGATCCTTTTCAGAGAGCCATAAAGGCCTAAGAGGGAAATATATTCCAAACCTATGCAAATGATAACTGTAAACTTATCTTGGAAATAGGACAACTTTCAGCTTCGAGTTTCGTTCGCGTCAAAGCTGTAAGCGTCAACAAGGCATACTCGGTAAATTGACGCATAACACTGATTAGTAATAACATCTATGAAGAGGTATGTTGAACTTTTTTAACAGTAAATTATTTTTTGTTGTTGTATAGTGAAGTAAACAGTAGAGCGCTGTCGACTCGACTAGAAGCTCGCGCAATCGCCTTTGCATCAATCGCAGAATCTGCCCTTTCATTCTATTTCATACAATTCCCAGATGACGACCGCAATCCTTTCGTTCTATGGATCACTTAATCTTCCTCGAAGTAAATATATGTGAGTTCGCATCGTCTGGCTCATCAATTAGAGACAACTGTATTCTCAAATTTTGATTTCAAGACTGTTAGGATCCGGGGTGTTAGATCAAGTGTTTTTCTTTCTTTTTTTTTTTTTTTTTTTTTTTTTTTTTTTGTTTTTTTCTATAAAGCTTTCCAGCATAGGTCGACCAACTCATCCACGGAAGAGATCCATAAATTAGTTAATCACATTTTGACCTTATGAGACTCTGAGAATTATTATATGATGACTCATCAAAGCATCGTCGCCTTGATCACTCACGTATCGCTTCTACATATTCGGCATAATTTTACTCGTCGCTTCTTGAAGATACACTGATTAGTATCTTGACGCTGCTCTATATCTTTGCCGGGTAAAGGTTCAAAGCAAACGAGAATATCATAGAGGATGACGAGGAGCTACTGCAGAATGCCAGCATGCCCTGACGATGTACTAGGCCCGTTTATACAGTAGTTATATTAGTGCGTATTACCGTAACGATGTGCCTTTTTACGTGCCTGTTTTATATTCGATGGCGAATGCCTCTGCTGTTTAGACTCAAGATATATATATATATATATATAGTATTTTCAACGAAATTCGAGTTTAAATGCTCAACGCAGCCTTCTTAACATCTAATAGCGTTACATCACTTAGGTTTAACATGGCAAAAATCCCATGATCCTAGATATTGTGGTTAAAATACGTGTTGGCTACATATTTTTGTCTAATATGTAAGTAAAGGGAAGTCTCTCTTCGAATAACTCAAGTCAAAAAAGTCGTTATGGGTAAAGGTGGCGCAATTGTGCCACATGTTTTGCAGGCACATCTATCAGAGGTGGTAATTTTACATGGGGAACTCTGCGAGCTGCTCTGAATGATATCACAATTACATAGATCGCCTTGCATAGTGAACGCTACGTGTCAGATATTATTTAATCATCGTTGTGGATGGGAAATAGATAGCTTGTAAATATGCATACATGTTAAATTTCTATACATCAAGCCGAATCGTTAAAATAACAAACACAAAAAAATCATAGAATAGAAAATTAATGTCTATCGGCTTGATAGTCAAGTTCCATTTTGATGAGCCTAGCTTTTTCAAAGAGGGATTTAACTAGACCGTTTTTTAGTTTAGGAAAGGTGTAAGCTCCTATAGTGGTTGGATCTCCTGATAAAATGTATTCATTTTCATGTCACATTAAATATTTTGGCTTCCCTAGGTGACAAAGACAATCGCCTATACACACACGACACGGAAAGCCATCCTATTATTGTCGAATCAATGAGCAGAAACAAGTTGAAAGGATCACTGATTGAACATTGTTCGCATGTGGCACTGCTGCTGTGGATTCATCTACGACAGAGTAGACCGTTGAAAAGTCGTGCGCGACACGTTGCCTAACTGCGAAAGATAAAGAGCGGCAAACCGGGGGAAAGAGGAGCCGCACGGATGTGTCTGTACGGTACGGGAACGGGTAAGGAAGGACTGCATTCTCTAGTGCTGCGGCCGATCGGTCGGCAACCTGTGATAGTAATGATAACTGAAGAACTCTTGGCCCTTTCCTAAATTGCCTCTTGACCCGAGAGGCTGCAGTTTGGGACTAAGGGAGCTCACGCAGCTTTTCGAAGACTGTCGCGTCTGAATACAGCCTACACAGAATTTGGCCCGCCTGTACCTGTTATTCGGGCTCCCCTAAGGGCGCTAGGGCAACTCGAAGAAGGTCTTCCATTAGATGCGAAGAAGACTTCCGGCTGCAATTAATATAATTACCAAAATTACGGTGAGGCCATGCGCTACGTTAATCGGTGCCACTTCTGTAATAGCACCTAATCACCCGGGGCAATTAATGAGTGAACGAATGCAGTTGGCCGATTAACGATGGGCACAATACGCGGCTGAGTATACCGTAGAACAGCAAAAGCTGTAATAAATAATCGTTTTCATGGGGCTTCGTCTTAGTTTTATCTATTGGAATAAGCCATACAGCCAACCGGACAGTGGGTATGCTAGTTTCAAATCGCTCGTATATGCGCACTGAATAACAGTGAAGTATTATAGGTCCAGAGCGAACCACTGGAAGATATGTTAGGGTCGGTCATCCGTTGCTCTTCTCTCTAGCTAATCTCCGTGTCGCTTTGTAGCGCAGGCAGGTCTCGTCACACTCTGCGCTTGTGCGTTCTACGATGGCTTCCCTCGCCCTCAGCCAACAAGAAACAATCGATTTCTCGCATCCTCTAGCTATCAGCACATGTCAAGTAATCTCCGACTGTCCAATCGGGAAACCACCATTGAAAAGTTCAAGTGTGTGGGGCTCAATCTGTACACCCGGATATCTAGTGGCGTTTATGGAATAGAAGACGAAAAGAAAACAACTAAATTTCGGCTGGTGATGTGAAAACAGTGCGATAGAGGTGGTTAAATAGGCCATGTATTCGAGCGCCGAGCGAGCACATCTGCTTAAGGTAGGAATGATTGTCGTGTAGAAAACTGTAGATAACTTCGTGAGTGGCTAAATATGCTTACATACGAAGCTACTCGTGCCAAAAGTCTGCGATATGAAGCGAGACGATGTTAGACTCTCACTGCTGCTACTACAACTCGCTACTGAGATCTAAAACCTTTAAACGGACTAACTCATTTAGATTTGCAGGCGTCATCTTTTAAACCTGCCTAAAGTAGAAGAGGTAATACCTTCAATCGATGCTAGAAACATGAGTGGTAAAATCGCACGTTTGCAAGGTAATAAATGCATACTTTTTTTAATCTGACACGTAAACTAGACGTTTTATCACTCGAGCTAATCGAAGCTAGTGTCAACACAGTTTGGTACTGCATAGGACAAATTCAAGTTGAAGCGGGTCGCATAGTTGGCCTAATATATTAGCCACAATTCTAGGCCAACTCCATAGCTCATAATTGCTGAGCAAGGAGGTAATGAATTTAAATTGAGGCAAGAGCGATAATACATTTTAGGCGAGAATAATCATTCAATTCATCGATCAATCCTCCGTCCTAGTTCTTCTGTCTAACGTTCTAAGTAGTAACGTTCCTACATCAAAATCCGAGCACAAATAGTGATCATATTGTATTTCGTTGAACTAACACCAGTGTTATCATAATTTTTTACACTTATAGTAATATATTTTACGTTGTTTAATCGGAATCGGCTGGACAACGAAGAGTCATCGTGAAAACGTGGAAAATCAAGTTTCTTTGTTTTTTTTTTTTTTTTTTTTCATATGTATACTGTTTTCTTGCAGAAACTAGTGGTGAGTAGCATCTGGGGTGAACGGCCATATATGCCCGGTTACTTTGAGTTTCGACATTTGACAATTGAGATGTTCGAGAAAAGCGGAGCACGTCTATTGAATGTTGTCTTTCCATCTCATCTATTTGAGAACAATACGAACATCAGCCTCAGGGGAAACTGACCTCACAGAGAAGAAGCATTGGTTAGCCTTGACTGCGTCAACCTTATCCCAATTTTTTTTTCTCCTCCACTCTCGTCCGCTAGCTCGGCCCGCCTGCTGCGACTACAATGGCCCCTTTGCTTGGTCCTTCGCGTATTCCAGTAGGCGATAGATACGGACCCAACTACCGCCCGACCCTCCGACCGAACCCTAGCGACCCATTCTCTATGTTTTATGCAATCGCGGCTGTACGTAGCGGTAGAAGCGGAAGGTGGTCTTCGTTCCTTCGCTGTGTCGCTATCATATTCGACCGGGGACAGTTTAGATGTTTTGGCAAAATAAACATTCTCTACTACTATCGTTGGAGACTACGAACAAAACTGTAGGGGAATTCTCCTGGTGTATTCCCACTTTCATGACGAAGCTCGATCGTGGCTACCCTGCTGTAAAGGGCTATCTTGTGATCGGTGCGAGTGAAGAACGACGCAGCCGTATACGCCGCTGGCACCATCCTTTACCAAAGGGATCGGACTATTGGCTGCTGCCATCACTGGCGGAGACGAGTTTGCCTTGGACAGTTCGTCTGCATAAAAGAGCCAGTGATGATGATGATGACGATGACGATGCTGATGACAGATAGACAAACGAATAAAAAAGCCGAATGAATACGATAGTATAAGATAGTGAACCAAGCGATAGGCGAATGGACCTAGGCTGTAAATGGACCTAATAGGGAGTCAGGACAAAATGGCAACAACATGTTCGCTCGCAATGCGAATCTTTACATTGTGTAGGGATAAAATAGTCCTAATTTGGATCCTTACGGATACCCCTAACGGTGATGGATTCCTGTCTTACTTAAGCAATCTAACCCGTGACTCTCATCTTGCTCATGTGAATATAATCTTTCTGCTTATTTGGCCGGCTATAAATATTGCAATTTGTTTATCACGGTTCTATTTTGGTATAGCAAATTGAATCTTAAGAACAAGCTTTACTTTTTTAAAAATCAACCATCCAATAAATCCTCTATAGGAACTTGTTGCTAATGTCGTACGCATGATAGTAACATAATTTTATGACGACATGTGATCAAAGAGTCGACAAGTATCGCTGTACAAGAGCGACCCCAGGAGAGAAAAGCAAACATTAATATTCCATTTTTTAGATTTCTATCATGGAGAGCTGCATCCCTACGATTTTGTGTTGATGAATATCTTTCAGAAAGATCTCAAGCAGAGTAGTACTTTACGCGTGCTGCTACTTTGCCTCGGCCTAATCGTTGTTACGATGGGTTCTGTTACGTTATCTATGGGAGCGATGCTCGGGCCTCCGCTACTCGTTGGACCTGGGCTCTGCCTTACGCTGGGGGGGATGCTGTGTCTCGGGACGAGCATTTACTTTGGATTAAAACAGCACCATATCAATAAACAGGAAAAGTCAGCTTCATCCGCTCAATCTGTTTCATCGCGAAAGGTATATATGTCCATACACGCATAGGTATTCCCCATATGTTTCTCTCTCTCTTACGCTTTGTATATCTTCTCAGATTTTGACTCTCTCACTCACTCGAAGTTGCGAGCGTTCGAAATATCCGACAACGGTTTCGAATCGCCACACTGTGCAGTCGCACTAAAGGTACTGAACACCCGATCGAGGGACATTTGCAGATCCGTTAGTAGAAAACGAAAAAAAAGAAAAACTTTATACACGTCTGTTTAAAAAATAAAAGTGCATTTTTCACTATGAATGCTTAAAACATATTTGTATTGAAATACCTATCGACATCTCAGCAGGTCAACTTGGTTAGCTTGTATGATTATCTAGCAATAATAATCGGTAGATAGATAAGAAAAAATAGATAAAGTAGGATTTGAATCCAATACCCCTAAAATAATATCATATTTTTCAATATCTAAAAAAATTAGGTGAGTGTAGTAATCCGGCCGAGTCTACCAAGCGTCGTAGAACTTTCAGATGAGAGTTTCGGGTCGACAGTCTCTATCAGCGAGAACAGCTGTGACGATGATAGCGCATTTGTGGCAAGAAATGAACGTCCGCCGAAATGACTGAACCAAATGATTGGGTGAGCCGGTTTGGCCTTTGCATATTAGAAACACGTTATATAATAATACTGGTTGTTGTACTAATCATCATTACAGTCATCAGAAAAAAAAAGATGATGAATTGTACATACAATAATAAAATTTATAAGTCTATACAGTATAAAGACGACACGAGCTCCCCAATGTAATCTTGAGTTGGAGATACATGTATCCAGTAATAAAGCGTGTAACGGTCCCTCACACACACACACACACACACACACATATATATATATATATATATATGTATATATATATATATATGTGTATATATAGCAACTTTTATTTTTCTTCTTATGAGGTTCGTATGTGAGCTAGTATGCCCATGAACGAATAGATATCGCGCGCTTTACCAATGGGAGCGCAAGATAGCCAAGCAGATGCGTTCTTTCTTTTTTCGTCCAAAAAAACAGCGCTATATCTATTGTTTGGCTGTAGCAAACCGAAGTGGCTGTCGAGAACGTTTTCGGGTCATTCAAAAAGTTACCCTTAAATTCGGCCCCAAGTGACGTTTGTTTTTTTAGCTGGTACCGCTGCTAGCATTCGTGCGAATACCTCGTGTCCTACTGCAGTATATAGAGTGTGTCTTGAGCCTTTTTGTGGTGGTTAATGCCATCAGCAGCAAAAAAGAATGCGTTAGCTGTTAAGCGCTGTTCCCAGTGCGCTCATAAAGCCAGCTTTGTTTCTTCGTCTAAACGAGCGATGGCCTTTTTGAAAGCCGAACACCCTCGTCGGGATGGCCGTGACGTTGGCCCTTACCAGCACCTTTTTTCTCCTCATAGGCTGATTCAGCCTGGGCAAATAAAAAAATGCACTTGCTGAACTCTTTAGTCGCCTTTCTTGGCTCCTAAGAGACCCATTTATATTCTCGAAGGATTTTAACTATTATAAGACTTACCACTGTAAAATGAGTTAATCTCCCGTTGAATGTTTACAGATATGGATACGTCCCATGTAGTGCAAGGTCTAGGTGTACATGCATGAAACAGATCCGCTACGATGTACAATACAGTATACCACCACAGATTCTACAAAAGAACAACTAATTAGACGAATGTTTTAGAAAGTCATAGATTCAAAACCGAAAGTCGTACTAACTTTTTGTAACACGTTGACATGTACGCATGCACAGCGTGCAGATGTACGATAGACCCATTTTAGTAAAATTAATCGCGTTGGTGCTTCCGCGATGGCAATTGGTAATAGTAGATATGAGTCGTGTTGTTGTTGTTTATGCTACCAACAGCAACCTTGGTAGATATTTGATTTTTATAAAGTTCGATTATCTTGCTCAAAGTAAGTTGACCTCAGTTTGTAGCAGAGAGAGGGGGGAGGGGAGAGAGAGAGAGAGAGAGAGAGAGAGAGAGAGAGAGGAGACTGTACTTGCAAGTCGTACAATGTTCAGCTGCTTCTTTTAAACTCTGTACTTAGGGGGTCGAACGCTATCGGTCAGAGACTATAAACAGGCTTTTATTGCTACTTTAGTCAGATATTTATTTGTCTACCAGTTTGTTATATGATCTACTTATTTAGCTACTGGCATTACCAAGATATTCAATTTTGTTTAGACTTGAAGCTACTCTTGGAGTTAATACGAATGTATGTACGCAAAATTAGTAGATCAAGTGCGGCGCTCTCTTATTATGGATACTTCCGTAAACTTTGAAACACCTAAAACTAGTATTTCCAATACGTTGTCGAAAATATCTCAGTTGCCCTATCTAACTTGAAAGTTTAGTTATCAAACCCAGCTGCTCTCAAGGTGTGTGTGTTTCCGAAATTCACTAGTGTCCTTTAATAACTGTACGATTTGATGCTCTTCAATTATGTTTCATAACCGGATCTATTTTCCATGATTTTTATGTTATTAGCTTGTTTACTTACTATGGTATAGCTGCTGCACGAGAAAACATCGATATCGTTCGCTAGACATCTCTACAGTTAACAAAGTAAGTTTTCTAGGTATTTAGATAAGACTTTATTGGAAATTTTTTATCACCTGAAAGGTGAATAAAAGCAGGCAGAATATCGAATCATTTTCTTATCTCTAGAACGTATGCATGAACTTCAAGCGATTTGCAAGTCAGATCCAGACCATCATTAAAAGATATGTAACTATTCCTTGTTCTGCAAATGCGTATAGGACTTAAGTCGAGTCAACCAATAGTAGATATGATTCCTCTTAATCTTCTAACAGCTATAATTTCGTGTTTCATTTGTAGACAAGAAGTAGCAACCCCAAGACGATTTTGGGGCATTGTCCACTCTGATAGAGATATCACTCTCGAGCTAGTCGTTATTTGGTCTCCTATATGTGTTACCTGCACATATGTTCGCAATGAAATAGCACCGACGTTCATAGGTCAGGCCGTTGACTTTGACCAAAACGAATTTTGCCAAATACTGCAGCTATGTATGGTGCCCATACGAGGACAATTGAGCCGGCCACCGTGTTCAACTGATTGTTCGCAGCATATAGCGTAGCTGTCCAGTGCAGTGCAGTGCAGAAGCAGAAAGTGACAATAACGGGCCAATAGATGGTGGCGCCCAAAGTCTGCTTTCGCCGAGTGGCCGATCAACCTGCCAGCGATGGTACACGACGACGGGTTTTTTTTTTCCTATGGGAACCCTTTCGCTTTTTCGTCAGCTAGCTGGCAAGTCTTATGCTAGTACCGAGGCTATCAGGGTGTGTCAGGATGGCTATAGGGAATACGGGAACTTGCTAGACTCGCATGCGCCAAATAATCGAGACGTGAGCGCACGTCGTGAATTTTACGGGCCGAGGGGTTTCGTGCTGACGGGATCAAGGTGGAGTCGGTCACCGGTTCCTCGGCGTGTATAGCTAACCTTAACGAACAAACCTCAACGACAACGACGACGTCAGTCGAAGTTGCCGCTTACAGACTTCAAAACCTTCGACTGCTAGGTAGGTTGAACGCCAGGGGAAATCATTTAGCATTGGCGCACGGCAGGGTGCCATTATCCTACCTTAGCACGAGTACAACGTCTTCTTTCTTTTGCAGCTTGCCTAGTTTATTCGCGGAGATCTTTATCAAACGTCCTGAAAATCATCACCTGTGTTACACATGGATTTAATGTATTATACCTCACTAAGAGGCCACTTGGTACTACTAAATATAATTATAAATGAATAAACATAATGCGTTACGCTGTGGAGTTATGTGCTGCTCAATGTTGCGGAAAAATCCTTTTATCAGTCACGCGTTCTTTTTCTCTCTCTCTCTCTCTCTCTCTCTCTCTCTCTTTATATCTCTCGTTGTGCGCCTATTTCAGCTCCTGCTGGTGCGTAGGACATTCATCGTTCCTATTAGCGCTTAACGGCTCGCCTGCAGGATAGCAGTAGATAATCATAAGTGAGATGTTGTCGGGATACAGTTTGGCAACGGGTACGCGATGCGAAAGGAAATGCGGACCGGAATGAATAGTTATTAGGGAAGCACTGGAAAGGCGCGGGAAGTCATTTGAGAATGGCTGACATGGGTGAAGACAGAGGAAGGCAGCAAAGCGAGGGCATAATACTTCCCGCTGATAAACGCAGGCACATGCATACTAGAAGACTACATTCTAACGGCGACAATGACGATGACAAGGATGCAGCCGTATCAACGACGGTGGCGGCAACAGTTGCAGGAACACTAAGGTCTTTCGATGATAGTCTCGAAATGAGAATGGAGTTCTAAGCGGGGGGTCAGAGAAACTAGTGAAAGCATGGGGCGACGACCTAAATAGTTGAAATAGGCAGATTTTCCTGATAAGCAAGGCTCGGTTCGACTACTTCATAAGCCCGCAAGGCCATGCTAAAGACAGAACTGCGCTGAAAAGATGAGGGCTCAGGAAATATACAAAAGGATGCTGTGTTAGGCCGAGAAAAGGATTTGCTTGTGATCTGTCAGATATTTAGTTGCTTAGCTGAGTGGCCCGGCTCTGCTCTGTCTTCTCTGCAGCACAGTAGTTTACCTGGCTGAGTGACATGGAGCAGCAATGTAAGCGATCGGCAGCGAGGCACCATGTTGAGCGGAAGCTGCCTACTAAACCTCCGGGTCTCGGACTTCGCTATCGCACGGCTGTACCAGGTGTGGCTTGGTGACGCAGCGTTTTCCTGCAGTCGACAGTTTTGGGAGTTCGCTAATCATCCCAAAGCATAATTTTTGTGCAATGGAAACTGTTATTAACCGTAAACACATTTTGGAAAGTAAACATTATAGGTAAAGGCCATTTATATAAAAGGAACAAGTTCTCCGTAAGTAACAGCATGTATTGAAGAGGTTCAGATTTGACTCAAACGCATCCAAGCACTGGTAGTGGCATGGGGTTGTGCACAATTATCTCTCTTCATAGGTCATAAAAACGGTTGGGGTTAACAACCACTGACAACCAGCGTGCACGAACTCTTGTTCACAGTATTTTTCAGTTCCGTTCATACTATTTACCAATCATTCTCATTCATTCAACTTCATCCGTGAAACCTCACTCTTGCTCTCAGCGTTGCGCGTTCGATACGCAATTCCGACGTCGTGAATCGTTCCAATAGCATCACTGAGGCCTGGGACGAATTCAGAGGAATTCCTAAGTGTTAAAGAACATGAAAATTTGAAATGTTGGCTGCTCCTCGTGCTAGCGTGTGTTGACATCGTGAATTTCATTTTCTATGCCCCTTCTTTCATTACGCACTAACACAGTCTTTTTTTCGGTCTCAAAAGAGCTATCTAAGTTACGAGTTAACATACGTTCAAATACCTGCAGTTTAATATTCTTATTTATTAGAGATGTTCTAATCATCAGATATTTGTCTTAAATGTAGATCATAGAAAATCTTTTTGCTATTGACTTCGATATCGACATCTACTGCGAACTAGAATACATCACTACATCAAAATATATAAGAGTATCTTAAATCACCGCACTCTAATCTATATAATGAACACATTTAACTTGTTGAAAATTGTGCGGTAATAGGTAAAGTAGTTTGGAGTTAAGATATAGGCTGCCGTTTATGAGACTTGAAGAAGATTCAGTAACTTGACAGGATTTCAGTTACCACTTGAACTTTTTATGTCAGATAGCACCGACAGCGCTACTCTATTACTGACTGCGGTTTTTCTATTTTATACCACCTACCGCTAAGCGGAAGGTAATAATATTCTTTTGAACAATGGCGACGACATATTCTTACTACCAGAGAAATATCGTAAGCAATCTTGGCCACAACTTTCCCATGTGCTATTCAAGCGTTGGTTAAAAAGCCCTGAAGAAAAATCAAGGTACTAGGTGTTTTTAGAAAGCGGAACATATTTAGCATTTCCAAGTCAATCTTGGGAAAAAGCATCCTCAAGAAGGCGCGAATTGAGTGTTTCCCGATTCGTGTTGGGAAAAAATGGACGTATCTCATGGGAACGCTTTACAACAATCTCACCTACGCCAACAACTTCAGCCGCTTTCAGGGAAATAGGCCTATCAGGCCTCTATGTTTCGAGTTTTACGTCCGGTATCGTCGTTAAAGACTCCATCAGACACTTAGTTTCCCGCATTAAACGAGGTCAGCCTGTCGATGCCCAGCTTTGAACCAAGACCACAACGTGTCCTTAAGATTAGTAGGCAAATACGTTACCCACTAAGCTATCACGGGGATCTGTCAAGTCTGGTACCCTTGAATTCACTGTGAATTTATCGTTTAATTTATTGTTATCATTCAAATGTGGCTTGATGCTTTTCTCTTTAAAATTGTAAAGGATATGCCAGGCCGCAATTGCGAAGGGATTTGGAGTGTGAGATAGGCGAGGACAAAATTATAAATTAAAATTTCTCAGGAGCAACGGCCAAACGTAGAAAACCATATTTGAAGTATGGATAACACCGCGAACCTCTAAAATTGATACCACAATCGAATTAACGTGTCGTTGCAATGGACGAATGAAGAGCAAATCCAGAAGCCAATACACATGGTTCATCTATATATGCACACGCTTTTATACCTGAAGTAAGTGAATTTCAAGGGCATACTGGATTGTTGGGTAAGATAGCATATGTAACTTGGTGGCATATATATCTGGATGTATTTATAAATTTCACGCCCGACTATAACAAAAACACATATGTTTATTAAATAATTTACCTGTCTCTTTGCGTGCATATATATCCAGAAATTAGAAATATATTTTATGGGAGTCTTCAGTGGTAAGTCTATTCCAGTCTTTTCGGCCCAATATAAGACGATTTGACAATAATCTTCTCATAGAAAATATTTGATACGACTCGAGTGATGTTGCGGTCAAAAGGTAGCGATTGCTTCCATTAAATTTGAAAGCTGCGTCATAATCATGAAAGCGCACTGTCTTGTTATGTTTATTATTTATATATTATTATTATTATTATTATTATAGCTAACACTGCGTTTGATGCTACTCCTTGCTGTCGTCTTAGAACGGTTTGATTTCTTGCTGGACGCTATTCAAGGATCTAAGTTTTCAAACTCGGTCATCTTGGCACGGTTGACGCAGAGGATAAATGCTTGCGTAGGAAAATTGGGTGTTTGGAAAAGGGTGCAGACCACGGAATATTTCGGAGACCAACAAAGTGTTCTGCATAGCGGTGGATATATTAAAATCGCGTCATAGGGAGGAAGCAAAGGCAAAAGAACGCGAGAAAATAAGCAGAGGGGAGTTGAGAAAAAAAACGAATCCGATTATTGAGCTTCTGCTATAGCTTCTGCTTGTGCGGCGGCCTGTGCTGATGCCGGTGGTGACGATGGTAGATTTTCTGTTGAATTTCTGCTATTCTCCCACTATTATCCTTCTATTCCTTCTGAACGGCGCCGTCGTTTGCCGCCGTTGTTGCTGCTGCGTCTGGTTCCCTTCAGGCACTTCTGGTCACGCCTTTCTTTTCGGTTCTCCTCACCGACCGAGGATATAAACTTGGCCTGCCTTGTTCCTAGATGAATGGCCAACTAAAGGAGATTTCCGAGCGGGATTGCGCTCTGAAAAACGCAAAGTCATGTGACGTAAACCGGTAGACGCGGGCGTCGAGCAGCAGGAGGGGACTTCTGTGTCCTCCTTTTTTTTGCCCTCGGTTTTTCTCGTGCAAACCGCCGCCTTCCACGGATTCTGGTAAGACCTCAATGGTAACAGAAGCTCGCAAAGAAAAAGGCACCATGAGAAGTCAGCAAAATCCGAACCCCGATCATCGCTTTTGGCTTTCAGAAAGGGCCAGTCACATAAGCATACGCACAAAGATACCGATGGACACCTTTCATAGTGGAACATGTAGAAGATAAGGTGAAACCAGCCATAACAGAAAAAACAACACGACAGAATGAAACGCAAATAAACAATTTTCGATAATAATAATAATGTAAAAGCAGATCCTTTATCTATATATGATTTATCAATGTATATAGAAAACTGATTACCTTCCACCATCAATATAGAAGAATACCACCATCAAATCTCAAGGTAATTCTAAGTAATAGTTACTTTGTAAATTATCCTGTCGCTCGATCAACAAGAGATGCATAAGAGCATCGATTTTCGAGACATAATGGACGTAGATAGAAGTAACATCACCAAATAATAAGAGGTAAGATAATGTGAGCAAGTGTTTCGACAACCATTTGTTACTCTAGAATTGGGTATAATTCTGGGTCGATCGGTAGTAGCATGCTCTAGTGATGTCCATTTCACTTTGACTGTTAATTAAGCATATCTACATAAACGCATATGCGAAGTCTGATGTTCTGCCTTTAGTGAACTCTGTCTTCATAAACTGTCTGTTTAATGAAAAAAAAAAAACTGGTAGACGTCGTGTCGGTAGGTGGGTCGTGTTTCAACAAGTTACCATGCATCCCTACATGTACTATACTTAATCGTTTGGTAACCTTTAAGTGTATTGTACAGCTGTTCTATACCTACTGATGAGATAGCAGCTTGAAGTCAGTAGATTAGCAGTAATAGCAATGGCAGGCTGTTCTATATCCTGCCAAATTACCTTGCAAAGGGCCACTTGTACGTTGTCCGCGGTCAGCTCGATATCCGGTCGTTCAGCCCGCGGAGAATACTTTGGTAACCGTCAAAGTTTTATGCTCCTCAGTTTATGTTTGTTTCGATATGTGTGTTGTGTATCATGCCAAGACGCTATTCCCTGATCGTGCGATATGATATATATATACAGATACTGCACATACAACAAAATATAATGGAGATCAGTATTGATAGATTAAGCCATTTTGAGGCATTTATTCTAGCAGACATCTTCTCATTGCGGTGCCAGTATCTAGCCAACTTCGCTAGCTAAAGGGCCCTTGCATACGATCGACGGCCTATATACGATTATTCAGTAAGCTGGAAAATGCAGTTTTATGACGTCAAGCGCTAGCACTTGATCTTCAGTTACACCTTTGAACCTAAAACACCCGATCTTCTTTTACTTGAAATTGTTTCGTAGCGAATGCGAGCAATCTATTTAAGCTTTTATTAATTGGGCGTATCTAAAAGCTTGGACAGTCCTGTGAACCTAAAATTAAATTACTACATATTTAAATATAGCTGTTTTCTTTCGGTGATGTTATTTTTAATGTCGTCCTTAGTTATTGTAAGACTATAAAATTCTGTTTTTGTGTTGTTACATGTTGACCTCCACCTGCGGAGTCGTATCAGTTGCTGTTACTAAAAAGGTTTCTACCACCGCTGTTGTTGTTATCCTATTTTATCGCTGCGCTTTGTTGCGCGCCACATGACATTTAAATGAGCCGTGCACAATAATCCGCAACTAGAGAAATAACCATGGCAACTTTAAGCTTGTTACCAAAAAGCTTATCTACTGCGCATTCTGAACAGACCACGAGTCGAGTCACACAGCTTACTAGGAAATGAAAAACCTCAACTTGAGCATTTACGAGCTCACGATAAGAAGACTATCTAATGTCCTTTATGCCAGGGGGGTGTGGAATACGGGGGGAAACTTGTAGTTGTTTTAGCTCCACCTGTGTTTCTCGGCCCAAGCTGCCAGGTCGCATAATAGGTACAGACCCTTAGCATTACTTGTGTTAGCAGATACGACGGAAGGACAAAGAACGTGGTAGCTCCGTGCGTGCCCAGTTACTTGAAAAGGTCGCAATGAAACCACTCTACTAGCCGCTCGCTCTTTGGGTCATGTCTGTCCGTGCGTCAGCCTATCCACCGTTTGTACGCCCGATTTGATGCCCGTCTGTCTTGCCCTGTTACAGTTTCTGCTTCAAATGATTTTTCGTCTTCGATGTTCGAGTCAGTCGCGATCTACTCACTCGATGGCGAAGCTTAACCGCGCAGCTTAGCTCAGTCCAGAAGAGTCGTCCATAGAAGGCAGCCCCGCCAGCCAGCCTGCCTGCTTGCCCGCCCGCCGTTTCAGATGATTCACTGCATTTTTTGTGTTGTGGTTTCGACCCCCTTTCGTACTTCTTTTCCTCCCAATCTCCCACAACCCCACACTCTCCATCGGAATGTCTCTTCAATCAACTATTCCCTAGACAGGAGCACGTTTGGACACGGACGAAATCTATTCTTCCTTTCCTCTTTCTTTCCGTTTTTATTTCTGATCCGAAACCAGGAAAGTGCACGCCCATCGCGCCGCCGTCACTGACGTCGCCGCCATCGTCAAGGACGACGAGGACTCCTACCAGACTTCATCGTTTTAGAAACAGAAATAATTTAAAGGATAATGGGAAGCGTGTCTCAAAACAATAAACAGTTCTTGCTGTATCTTACAGCGTTCTTGGTCCGAGAAAAAGTAATCCTTGATTCTATTCAGAGCTTTGTTTTACGATTCACATTATACACACTATATTCGATTACGACCGAAAGGTAAGTTCGTCAGATGATTTCTGACGTAGATAGACGCTTGCTTCACTAGTTTGGTAAACTGAACGACATTACGAGAGTTTAATGCTACATTAATATAAAAGCAACCATCGTACTATTGGTAAAAAATCGCTCGTGAGCCAGTTACACGAGTCTTACAGTATGGGAATTTACCATCTAGTACGTCCCAATAAAACATCAGATCTGTTCATTCGACTGTTCAGGAATTTTAATTTAATTTTGAACTATAGTAACTTGTTAATAGATCCGCCTTAACCATGCGCAAAACTAGAGACAAAAGTTAGGCACTTTCTGATGGAATTCAACTGTTCCTGATAGTAGAGAAGACGTCGTTTAACGCAATGGCATATAATTTATAAAAACGGTATTTTGAAGGAGCTTTCTTGAAAGCATCTACAGACACGATAACAGCAGGCTAACTGCAGGACAAAGAAGATATTCTAAAAGCGGCTTGCATGGGGTACGCCCAAAGCCTATTATATTGAGTATTCGTATGAAAAAGATAGCCTTGTTCCATCCCAATTTTTGTCATGATAACAAGGGAGTACCGATTATTGTTGTAATGTTCTAAGTAAAAAAGCAGTAGCCTTTACGTCCGCTCAACCAACGCATGTTAATAAAATATCTTCTGAAATGAGTGATATAAAGCAGATAAAGCTGTTACGAAGTATGATTGCTTAATGCAACTTCCTAAAAAATCAAAATTGATTTTCCTAGATCCGTCCGAGAGGTACGACACCCATAGGTTGAAAGCCTTGAGCCAACCTATTATATACGCGTAGCCGTTTTACAAACAAATTGAAAAAAGAAATCGTACATAAAAAGCAAAGTTAGAAATAACCTTTGACGGGCTGTTGATCGCAGCGGGAAATGCAAGACGAGACATTTTTTATATTCCAGAATTTCGGTTACTGATCCAAGAGGTTAATCTAAAGCTGGTCTATTGCTACACAGCACAGTATTCCTATAATGGGAGTGTACGTAATTGCGATAGCCCTCGTGGACTCCAATGAAAGTCGCGGTGAATTGTTTCTGACTCTTATAATGTTTGGGCAGGTCAAATGGTGAACTCTGCCTTAAATAGCTAGAATTTATCATACCCATCATACTCAAAGATCGCGGTTGCTCTGCTTTCGTGGCACAGGTTTTTCTGGACAGAGTATATCCAAAATTAATTTCTAAAATAAGACTTTCCGTCCTTGAAGAAAGAGATAGCCCACGTTCGCTATTTGCCATTGTGGCAAGTTAGTTCCTTTGACGAGCAAGCACGTCACATAATGGTACCTAATCTTTAGATTTTTTAGCCTGCATGAAGTTGCGGTGGGAAGCTTCATTCTATATTGTTAAGTTCAATATGTGGTATATCATATATACGGCATCGAAACTAAGAGATAGAATAGGTTGACCTATGGATAGGTTAAAGGAGAAAAGGAACGCTTCGATGGTGCTACGGGCTGTCGATTAAAAGGAGGCCACCGACGTAAAAG